GAAGCGGAGAGGCGAGGCGGTTACCTTCGCCACTTCGCCTCGCCCTGACCCGCCCGCGTAATTGCATTCCTCGCCTTCATTGGGGAGCTGATCGTTATTTGCTAAATAAATGTCGTGAGACGTCTTATTTTAATTGGAGATTGAAGATCGTGCGCGGAAGATCGAGATTGGAGTCGGTTGCTGAATGTCAAAACTCCGTATTATCAAACAACGTCGTTAGGCTGAGTTAATTGAGTATTCTGATAATGTGTTGCGAAAAGAATAACGGGCAACGTTTTAAAACTCACTTTTAAAAAAAGTTTCTACTTACTATAACTTTCGTTTACATTTGATTTCTAATTATTCCCTCTGCCCAAAGTGATTGTTTGATGTTGATAGTACCGAGGACCGGGAATTATTAGAACACTTAAATTATAATTATCCTTATTACGAAACTGAGTAAAGTTGTTCATACCATGCCATGGATTATTAGAACACGTGTTCTCAATAACTCGTAGTATGAAACTGAGATCAATTTCTTAAGGTTTGAGTGTATATAACTAAAGTGCACAAAGAAAATGTCACACGTTAGAGGCTCGTTCCTCACCGTCAACCACTTCCGATGTCACATTTGCTGACGCGTTAGGATTGGTATTGTTTTGGGGGTAAATGAGATGGAGACATGAAGTGACGCTGCATTTGGCGTCTAAGTATGATGTTTACATTTTGAAATGAAATAATTATATGCGTCGTCATTGCCAACAATATTATTTATTTAAAAAGCAGCTTACGATGGCTTAGCCATCACCATCATCATGCTGTATGGGAGCCACAAAGACTACCTCGTAGCATAAAGCGTACAATGACGACGCATATAATTATTTCATTAGAAATGCCAACGATAACTCACCACAACACCTATATGTTTACATTTTGTTGGAATCGATTAGTGGCTGTAGCAATTTCTAATTGTTTAGGATACACAGAATGTTTCCGAATAAATGTTACAAATTTCTAGATCATGTGAACTTCTTTATACGAAATTTTTCTCCACATTTAATTTGGCAAAATATTATCATCTTCGACCTTTTATTGTGTAACATTCATTCTCAGACATTTTAGTTATGTGCTGGATATTATGAGTTGCACAGACTAAAGTTGTTTTACACCTATGAAAATCGTGGATGCTGAGGACTAGAGTCTCTCTCCTAAACTAGGAAATGGGCGATCGATGGCCAGTCAATTTGGTCCCAAAGATATTTGTGCACATTAAAATTTTTAAAGTCTAACGTTCGCTACTAATACGACATCAGAAGTGGCAGACGCTGAAGGTCGTCACAAATCAGCTGCAAATTGAAATTATCCTCGTTTTATGCTTCGGGCCCTAGGACCGTGGCATGAGTATTTCTTTTAAATTTGCCGCGCATAGCTACATTTTACGCCAGCCAATGACGCACAGTAATTTTCTTCGGGTTCCAAATGAAGGAGGAATGTTAATATGCGGCCCGCCCTGCATGCGCAGTGCCCCGCAGTTCATGGCGCTAGTACTGTGCTTACAGAACGTTTAGGATTGCTCTCTAGATAGAAAGTCAAATGCAATACAGTAAAATGCTTACTGTTTTATAACAACAGGTTTAAAATAGTACTAATTGAAGATACGTCGGACATCTTTATATACAAACTACTCTTACTTCCCCCCCAAAAAAGGAAAGCCTCCTTACAAAGTATTAGCTACCATGAATATAGAGCGGATAAGCACTTAGATGCATTATTTATATCTCTTTAAAACATTTTCAAATAGTTATTGCTGTAATTTTTGATAAAAAAAATTGTAAAACACTATAAATACTCTACATGTCCTTCAACTTATGTAACATGGCAGATTTATTGTGATTCTTAATTTGACATATAATTTCCTGAATCAAAATAACAATCTCAGTGTGCCTAAAGTTTAAAAACACATTTATGACTAGACTTCAGATTTTTCCATTTATGCGCCAAAAATAGGCTCTTAGTAATCGAAAATTAACGTTATGTTTTTATATGCTAAAAAAACTTTCCAATTATGTTAATTTTTAAACGGTTTGACCCAAATATATTAGAATATCATAATAAAATTATTAGTAGTAATGACCCCAATTGTAAAACATTCTAATAGAGATTACTACAAACGTACAATGCAAAAAATACTTTCTTAAAGACTCTGTCATAACGTAATTTTCTTTTGATTCACACTGACGATTCAATTCAAACTCCTGTATAAATTATGTGCCAAAAAGCTGCCTTTCATTTCTCAAAATCATTTTATAAAATACCACGATATTCATGCATTTTTATTCCAAATGGTATTCAGCACCGGTCTGATTTTCTTTCCAATTTTTCCAGGAACTGAACCGGTAGCTTGTAACACGATATTGTATAAAAATATCGGAATCATTAACAGACAAATGAGCATTTTTACACTCTAAAGCCGAAACAGGCAATTTTAGTCATTATAAATGTGGTTTCTGTAAATTAATAAGTTCATATAATATGGATTTAATTAAATTCGAATGTATACCTCAAAGAGGTAAACAAATTTGTCTTAAATTCCAGTATGTCTGATATCAACTCACCTCGCCAATATTCATATCAGTAGAAAGTGAATTCAAATGGATAAAAGTATAATGTAAAAATCCCTAACCATTTTAACTGAATTAATTTTAAGAATATATCGCACAGTTCACACAAAAATTGACTCCGCATGGCGCGCATAACCTAAAAGTTTGCCGAGCGAATTGAATAATTGCGGTGTCGGCGCGGGAAGAGAATTCACGCAAAAATTTGCACCGCACAGCGGGCGCGTGAGCTGCACTCTGTCGGATTTTCAGCGCACATCAAAGGAATTCGCAGCGCAAATCAATTGCATTGTGGACGGGACGCGTTCGGAAGTACTGTTTACTGGAAGTGACATAACCTCATAAATGCCCATTACCGAGGAGAAGTGTGAAATGTGTATGTACGTAATTTTCATGAAATGGAAGTGCTGTATCAGCACATACTTATTTCTGCATCTTTCAATTTTGTCTTATTTCTATATCTTTCAACCTACAAAATTTGCAGAGTTCACCGAAAATGCGTCGGCCCCATTTCAGCATCATTTGCTATATCCGTAGAAAAAATTAAAGGTCAAATTTTGGGCGATTTTTCTTATTAATTTTAATATATTACAGTAAATTCAAGAAGAAATTGAGCTAAAAATACTCATTTGTTAAAAAATATAGTACGTGACTTCATTTAAAGATCTGTTTTTATGATATCTTTTATTTAAGAAAAGAATCTCCATGTGATGATACAATATGGATATGTAGTAACTTTTGCAATGATAATTATTTGCTTTTTTTCAACAATAGAGAGAGTTTACCGAAAATAGAACCTGCACTGTTCTTTGCTACATAAGAAGAAAAAATAAAGAAAAAGTTTGGAGCTGTTTTTGAAAAAAACATTGTTTAGAAATTGCCTGTATTTTAAGCAAAAGTACGCTAAAACTACTCACATTTATGGAAAATTGTACATGACCTTTGAAGATGTCTTTGAGAATAAGATTTAATTACGAAAAATCTTTATATTCAATATTATAGTTGAAGAAAACTGCAGGAAAATGTAAACTTACGCAGTTTTTGAAAATATAAAGATTACAACCAAAATGAGGCGTGCTCCATTTTAAGCGTTTACTATGTTATTCGAAGACAACGTTGAATCAGTACATTTGGATCCACTTTTGAAAACTTTTGAAAATGTTTTTGAAGCGTCATGTAATGTAACCCCCTCCCCCAAAAAATCAAAATCTACATTTCGAACTCGCAGCGTCTTCAGTTCGTTCAAACAGATCGTGGAATACCAGTTTTGGAGAAAATTGTCTGAACGATATAGCCGCTAGCGTTGTCCAAAGACTCAAACGGTTTGCTATCACCTAAGTTTTTGGCATGAACGACCTGCCGAACGTGAATTCTGACTACATGTGTTGTATAATACACGTACAAGTAATGTAAAATACATAAGAAAACAATTTTTTTCATAGCAGTGCCCCACAATTAGATTTGTGTCGTTCACAATGCGATTTCTGTCGCAGCATTATAATACGAGACCATTTTCTACGTATAACGTAGAAAAACGAGAAGTAAATGGTATGTGCCAAAAGCTTGCAAATGGTTTGTATGCAGTGTTACTGTACACATTCCGTCAAAACTCCGTGATGTGAGTCCTGCACTTGGTCCTTTGAATCCTTTCTTCTATTGTTCATTCCATCTCAAAACGAATAAGTGGCCTTTACGTCATTGAATCATGAAATATTTGTAGTTTCCAGAAAAAAATAATAGCTTAAACATTCCAAGTCATTTATTTCTGCTCAGAGCCATTGCATTAATGAACGCTTGCAATTCTTCATTATCAAATTATTTTACTAAATTTTTCTAGTGATTCCAACCTATCAACTTACAAGCATTTTTACAGCGCACTATTTTTTCTTCATTTGTTTTGAATCAAAAAAAGTAAAGACATCTTTCATTGTGTAAACTGTTGTTTTTTACCGGACCTGGATACATCTTCAAAAAATTCTTCACTATAGAAAAAATGTTAATGGAAACCATTTTTTACATCATCATTGTGTCTGTAGTAATATCATCAAATATATCTATTTCGTTTGAATCACGTTTATTCCTATTTTATGTTTTACTTGTTGTGAGAGCGTCTTCCGATTAGAATTACTTCATTAATCGTCATTGAGTATATACGACAATGTATCTTAGTGACATTCGATATACGTTTTCAACTTCTTCTGCACATAATATTACTTCAGGGTTTCTAAAATAAATAAACATCTAAGGTGAAGATAAGAATATAATAGGAACGTACTGTGGGTTCTAAACTACTTCTTTAAAAGAATAGTAAGTTAGCTCCGCAGTCCAGTTTTTTTAAGACTCTCGGCACCTTATCAGCCAATAGCATCCATTTGCAAATAGATTTGTTGGATTGACAAGTTATCCTTTCATTCACCCTTCCCTCCCGACAAAATAATAGTTTACAATATAGTATTTATTACTTTTCATAATTGAATAAGATAGACAGTAAAATGCTAGTGAGTAAAATGATATCAAAGTAATTCTGTCAATAAATGTACTTCCAAATACTATTATCTCACGACGAACATACGGGTCACAAAGGTCCCGTTTCTGCTAAGCACGACAATTTTTATGAAACTGCTTTTATTTTTCTCAAAATATGAGATAATGCCGCAAAACACGTGTAGCATTTCTCAGTATAGAATAGTTCTCTAAAAATTTTAATATAAAACTCGGACTGGTTGTAAAAGGACCTTTACTGATTTAGAGAATTAATCTGAAAATTTATTAGGGAAATGAATAATATTTTAAAAACAACATTATTTGAATGAGTTAATATATTTCTCCTTATAATTTCCAAAAAATATGCAAAAATAACGAAGATATGAAAATCATTAATACTGGCATAGGTAGCAAAAATTATTATTATTATTATTATTATTATTATTATTATTATTATTATTATTATTATTATTATTATTCCTTTATCATTAAAAATCGATGAATGGCGATAATGATGTATTGGATTTTCTGCATGTGCACTTACATCACTTAGCTCGGCAGTATTTTCGAAAGACCGCTGAATAATACACATCATTTTAAAACGAATACGAAATGTGTGCGTTTGTGACCTGAAAACGTTGGTCCCAATCTATCGTATCCTTACTCGTGATTCTGCTGGACCGTCACTGGAATGTGCATGGGTTGTGTCTCTAATGCCATCTTTGATTCCAATCAAAGTTGCTCATTTGCTTTCGATCGATCCACGAGTTGCGCAACCCTGTTGGTAATTGCGTAATTGTTGTGGGGCGTAGCACATCCATTCCAGTAGTCGGGCAAGCGAAGCGAGCGCTTCGGATTTCCGGGATTACGAGATTAGAGAACGGAATTAGCATTTCGTCTCGCTTACTTGTTTCGTGGACCGAATCAATTGAGTTGCGACTTCCACAGTGGGACTAAGCATGTTTGAGAAAACCATAAAACCGAAAACACTTTTGTAATGTTTTTAAGTTCACGAAATCCAATTGTAGGTATTCCTCGGTGTTTCTTGTTTTTCCCTCTCAATGACAGATTTGATGGTTGTTGAAGAGGGAATAGAAATGTCTTCCATGTTAACAAGAATCATCTTTCTTTTTGACTTTTATAAAAAAATAATAAAATGAAAAATAAAGAGAATAAAAATTAAAAATGTTTTCTGGAATATTGAAGGCGGATTAAAAATATAATTCCTCAAAATATCGACTTAATAGATGGTGAATTGTAGTTACCTGTATTGTAATAGAAGATCTAGTTTAAAAGAGATTTGTATTATATTTTTCGGTTTTTAGTTTTAGAAAATGTGTTGATTCATTAAACGTGACATTATTTCGACGCGATAATGCTTAATATACTACGAATAATACTTCTACTTGACAGCTTATCTCGATCAGGTTTTTGTCCAGTTTCCCTGATCCATTGAGCAAATGCTGAGATGGCCCCTTGTTTTGCTTCTGGAAATAAATGTAGCTTCACAATGCGCACGTGTTGTTGAACTCTGCTTTTTTTGTAATGGTAAGAGTAGAGGATAGGGCGAGTTGCTATTTTGTTAGCAATGCAAAAAAAAATCATACTTGCAATTCGTGTACCGATACAAATATGTTTTCTATAACTCAGAAACAAAAATGACTATTTTCAAATATTGCTAATCTTGCGATTTTAAAAATGTATTTATATATATATATATATATATATATATATATATATATATATATATATATATATATATATATTTGTGTTAAACTTTTACTCATCTTTCAAACTCTTACTCATCTATTTATAGTTAAAATAACGGGAAGGGATTCTGGAAGTCAAGAAAACGTGCGCAGTTAATCTTTTCGTCTTTTCCCCCTACGTCACATAAAGTTTTTACTGTTTTTTTTTTTTTTTTGACTGAATAAATCTAAACCTAAATCTAAACTCACGGTTGACATAGGAGGAAAGGGGGTTTTATTATCCAATCAGGGGCTTCAAATTGTGCTGAAATCACCGCAGAGTAGCGGATGCATATTAAGAAAAAACTGGAATCTCGTAGCATGAAGCAACTATAAGTTTAAGACTGCCATTACATCTTTGGTTACGAATCGTGTGCGCGATTCTGTGTCATCTAATTTGCTCTTATTGCGATTTGTTTCATGTCATTGTTGTAATCTGATGCAAGAACAACCACACGATCACGTGTCTGTCACCCGAGTAAGTGGCAACATAGCTCGACCCCACCCCAGCAGTCAAATAGAAATATTATTCCGGCAATAGGCGATTATGCTAAATTTCTTCTGCATTTTTACTTATTTTAATGATACTTTCTGCATTTTGCACAGACTACAGATGTAATTAAAAATTAATTAATGGCATGCCCATATTACATATCAGAAAGGCACTCATAAAAACGAATATTTTTGGTAATTTACAATTATAACTAATAAGTGAATGTCCTTGTTAGCCACCTTTGACAGGCAAAAGAGAAGAATCAGTCATCAGAATCGATTACGTTGCGCAATACGCGATTAGGTTCTGTGAAATACAAGATGAGATAGCAAAATGGAATGGTTTGTTTTGCACATAAATATAAAAGTACGTATTCTAACACCCCCTTTAATTGTTAACAATACAAAGTTTACGAGAGAAAACCTTTATAAACTTCTTTTCAGCTTCAATTTATTGTGTTTGCACCAATAATATATCAAGTAATTAGATAGACATGTGAACAAAGAAGTTTATTTTATTTCGAAAGAAATATATTTAGGAGTTACAGGATTTATAAGGCTAATTTATTGCAAGGCATGCAATTTTGTACGTACTCGTCGATATGGCAATAAAGTAAGGATTTTCGTATCACATAATTTCAGTGGCATGAATACGATTCCTGGGCCGTCATTTTGCAAATTAGTGCAGCTCCATTGATAATATTAGAGCTTTCGGAGACAATAAAGAAACCTATTTTCTTTTATGCAATGTATCAGAACTTTTTTTATTTTAAATGACACAAGGTTACTTTCAGATACAACAGTTGGCAAACATCCCAGATAAAGTACAAGGAGATGAATTTTCCTTAAAAAAACAAACTGATTTTACAAGCAGTAATACATCAGCTGATAATATTGAGTGTGCTGAAATATGTGTGGCATTGTAATCAGCTCTGTAATTGTCAAAGATTGTGCAGTGTGAAACTGTGTTTTGAGAAGAAGGAGAAGATAAGATAAAAAGAGGTAAACAATGTATGAAAGGAATAATTGTTAGAGGAAAGAAAGAAATTGAAATAAATTATACGGTAAAACAATTGGATGGAAGAAACATAATGTAGTATGTCACATCACTGAAGACAAAACAAAGTTAGACAATATAAAAAACCCAAACTTCATCTCCCACTCCGTGTCTTAAATAAAAATTCCAATCCACCAACGACTGCTAATTTGATAACAAGTCAATTCCGTGGCCGCACTCGGAGGTTTTGGGATGTGACAAAGCATGTTGTGGAGAGAAAAACGAATATTAAACGTTTCTGAAATGCCATGTCAATTTCTGTTAAAATAATCAACTCTGCCAGATATGAACTCTTTACAGAGAATATATAATTGCAATCTTGGTGGAGGGATTATAAGAATGTGTGATGTATGCCGAGATGCCAAATACCCTGCCAAATACACTAAATGTTTGCTAATGGATCGTATTTAGGAAGCCACAGTCCAACGAAGGATCACTCTGGCTTGGCAAAAATTCTGGACCCTATCTTTCATTTCGCTTGACAAAATATTAGGTCTAAAGAAAACAGACGTATTATACTCATGCACATTACCAACTTTAATTTACGGGTGCCAAACTTGGTCGATATCGACAACACACAAAATGCAACTATCCAGGAGCCAGAGAAAGATGGAGAGGAAAATCCTTAACATATCTTTGAAAGACCTTATCACCTGCACGGAAGTAAGAAACAGGACCATGATAAAAGTTGCAACAGAACAACTGCTGCAACCTGGCTTGTTCCTTCATACATTGTTCCTTCAAACATTATAGTATTGCCGCCCCAAATAAATAATTTTGATACATAAATGTCTAATTTTTTTAACACCATACTTTAGAAATCACCCACTTTATTCAATACTTTCCACAATACAGTTCGCGCTTAAACCACACTGAAGCTTTCGTTAATATTTACAATAGCTTGCGAAAGTGCACCACAATTTCCATGCTTCAAATGTCTACAAATTTCATTATGAAACGTTTTTTCATTCTCCTGAACAATTGTATTTTTGGACTGTACTTGTTTAAAAAAATGAAGTTGCATCCATTACTTTCAATTACATGGTAGAATTTCAGATATCTAATTTGGTCAAATATGTCAAAAATATTTTTGAATCCATTAATACACTTTATTTTGATGTTTACGATGTTGTGTTGGTTTTCTATGATGGCAACTTGTTGAATGAAGTTCTGAAAAAGTTGACAATGAATATGGAATGAAATGAATAGGGAATGAATATGGGAAAACATACTCTTCAAGCTTTGCACAAGATTGATTTAGGAAGATTAAGAACCTCAATTAAGGCCTCGAAAGGCACAGAAGATAAGGCAAGGAAAAGAAATATATGTATAAATATTGAAGAACATTATTACGCTACACAACTACATAACGGCACAGACGTCCTCGCATCAGCTTTCTATTTCCTTTGGTCTCAGGACTTCCCACGACTTGCCTCGGACTTGCCACATACTCTTCAAGGCTGCTATCTATAGTTACCCAAAGTTTTACGTTTTTTAAAAAATTCTTAATTTTTCGTTTTCCAAATATAAGATCGGAAGTATTATTTTAAGAATCTTAAATAACAGTAAAACCTCATGCTAAATGGTAAATTTCTTTGAAAAATTTGGAACCGTTTTTAAGAAAATAGCGTTTAAGCGCTACTGTAAATTTGAAATTTGAAGCTCTTTTTCACGGAAAATTATTGAGTTTTCAAAAACCTTCATTTCATGTCATTCGAAGCACATTAACTCACAAATATAATAGTATTTACAAATTGCAGGAAAAGCGCATATTAATGATATAAGAGACCTTTCAAATATAATTATATTTGTGTAATTTATGACAAACAAAAACAAAAAGGTATACCAAAATGAACTTAACGTCGTATTAAAAAGTGCAATTAGCATTATCCTTCCAAAATTTTGAGAAAAAATTAGATACATTTATGAGAAAATAGCGTTTGAGCGTTTCTGAAAATGCGGAATTTTGAGCCAGTTTTCACAGAAAACTGTTGAGTTTTCGAGAAACTGTATTTGACATTATGTACTTCTAACTATAATAATATTAACAAATCGCCGCTAATGTAAATATAACCGACGTGAGAATAAGTTAAAAGATGCATTTTTGTAAATGTTGAAAAACAAAAGAATAGAGTAACATGACATCTATGACATATCATAGAGTACATTCAGCACTATCCGAAGCAAAAGTTAAAAAAAAAAATTTGGATCCGCTTTTGAGAAAATCGTTTTCTTTATTTTTTAAAATTGCTCGTGTTGCACGCAATATTGCGCAAAAACTGCTAAAATTTTGAAAAAAAAGTAATGACGTTATTGAAAGAACTAACAATGGAGAACAAATTTTATTTGAAGGGAAAATCTCTTTATTCAAGTTTGTAGTTGTAGGAAGACGCAAAAAATTCAAAATTTTGCAATTTTCGAAAATTTAGATTTAACTGTAAAAATATGACATATTCCATCTTTATAAGTGTATTTTACTCTATTTGTACAAGGAATTTGAAGACAATATTTAGAGCCGTTTTTGAGAAAATTGTGAAAGTGTTCAGAAGCTTCATGAAATGTACCCCAAAAAAGTTTTCAAAATCCCAGCGTCTTTAATAAAACCAGATCGACAATGGAATATTCATTTTGGAAAAAAATGATGCGTTTAGTTTAGGCGCTAGTGGTGTCGTCAGACTGGCAGACGGACGCCTTCAGTTGGTTTTCGGTATCAAGAACCCACAAAATGGGCATGCCCAGGCAATTATTTTTTTCTGCCGGAAATCCGCCGTTTTTTCATGCAGAATTACATAACTTTCTCTATACTACGTATATTACTCCGTATATACGTATGTTAATGGGAAAGTAAGAAGACCCAAGTTATGGTGCAAGAAAGCACTAAAAACTTTGATTGCTGTATTTCGCAAAATTGATTTTTACTTATCCAAATTGGAAAAAAAATCTGTCCAAATGGCTCGAGTCAAAGCTTTGAGATTTTGAAAAACATTCATTAAAGTTTGGGGTACTTTACATGAAGCCGCCTTCACATTTTCAAGTTTCTTAAAATGGGCTCCAAATATTTTTTTAAAGTTTCTTGTAAGAATAGAGTAAAGTACACTTATAAAGGTTACAAAAGGTCAGATTTTCACGGTTAACACTGAATTTTCGAAAATTGCAAATGTTGAATTGTTTTCGGTGCCTTCCTACATCTACAAAATTAAAAATAGATTTTTTCCTTTAATTAAAATTTGTTCTCTATAGTCAGTTCTTTCGTTAAGGTCAGGTATATTTTTTTTGTATTTTTTGTAGTTTTCGCGCAATATTGACTGCAACATGTGCAATTTTTAAAAACGAACAATTTTTTTTTCAAAAACGGCTCCGAATTGTTTCTTTAAACTTTTGATAGGAATAGTACTAAATGTACTTTATGAGATGACTTAAACACCAGTTTGCAATTTTCTTTTGTTTGTTTGTTTTTTTCAAAAATTACAAAAATGTATTTTTTTATTTGTCTTTCGCGTTTTTTATATTTACATTAGCAGCGATTTGTTAACATTATTTTATTTATGAGTACATGTGCTTTAAATAATGTCAATTACAGTTTCTCGAAAATTTAACAGTTGTCTGTAAAAACGGGCTCAAAATTCCACATTTTTCGGAAACGCTAAAACGACATTTTCTCATAAAGTCTCCAATTTTTCTCTTCTAACTTTTTGTACAGAAAGTGAAAATTGCACTGTTTAAAGTGACATAAAAGTCATTTTGCTGTATTCCTTTTTTTTCAAAATTAGGTTTTATTTTTTTTTAATATCTCTCACGGCGTTAATACACATATTTTCAGCAATTTTTAAACACTATTGTAATTGTGAGTTAATGTGCTTCAAATGATTTCTAGTGAAGATTTTCAAAAATTATCTTTAAAAAATGAGCTTCAAATTTCCAATTTACAGCCACGTTTAAAAGCCATTTTCTTAAAATCGTCTCCAAATTTTTCAAAGAAAATTTCCGTTTTGGACAATGTTTTACTGTTCTTCAATATTTTTTATATAATATTTGCATTCTACTATTAGGAAACTGAAATTTTTTTTAAATGTCCTTTGGATGGCGATAGATGGCAGGTGGCAAGAGTATGTGGCTAGTCCGAATAGCTAGCCGAGACCAAAGGAAATAGAAAACGAATACGGAAAAGTCTGTGCCGTTCTGTAGCACCATTAGTTTAATGATATTACTTTCTTACCCTCACTTCGTAGGAAGATAAATTATTGTAATCCAATGCCAAAAAATGGCAAATTTGTGTCCGAAAAACTCATATTACCGGGTAATGAACTAGTAACTGAAAAGTAGGCAAATCTTCTTCTTGTATGTAATAAATGACTTCCTCTATCGCATTGCTTAATCAGAATCCATGACGTCAATCTTTTGTCTGCCTGTCTATCGTGTGTCTCATTGACTGACACTGTGCGTCTGTGGTCAACACTATCTCCAAAATCGTTCAGCTAATTTGTCCAAACCTTTGATATTCCTTAATTGATTTAACGCCCTCTGAGTTTGAAACCGAAATTTTAACTTTTAGGTATTCTGTACGAGAAGTCTCAACAATATTTTCAAAAGTTTCTCGGAAATGAGTCCAAATGTTTGTCTTCGAGTTGCATAAAGGACGAAAAAGATTGGTTCAGGTAGAATTTTCGTTTTTATCTCTACTTTTTCGGAAATTGTAAAAGTTCAAACTTTTCACGGTGTCAGTGTAAAACTACAGTATTTAGGATAAATATTTTTTCCTATATGAAATCTCTTATTTAAAGATAGATCTTCAAATAACATGAAGTTCAACTTTTTGAAAATATAAGTAGTTTTCGCGTAATTTTGCGTAAAATATAGGCAATTTT